CCCACGCAATGTCCTTCACTATATTATTCCATTAATATATATATTTTGTTATTGTAATGTTAGAATATAGTTATTTTTTTTTTTTTGTTTATTTAATTTCGCGTAATTGCAAAAAGTGATACAATATGTGCATTAGTCGTGCATTGAGCTGACTCTGGCTTTCTCTGCTTGCAATACAAATATATGTTAAATACTAAAATGCGGAAGAGCTTTGCTTAAAACACGAGACTGTGTGACAGACCTATTATTACGCGTATGATGCCTTTACATATCGGTCAAGTAATCTAAATGTATACAATATTGTGTCGAAAAAATACAACCGTTGAGATGGTTCGGGTTTTTATTCAATAGTTCAACTTTTATATTTTTCTATTAAATAACAATAATAATAATAATAATAATAATAATAATAATAATAATAATAATAATAATAATAATAATAATAATAATAATAATAATAATGATAATGATGATGATGATGATATTAATAATAATAATAATAATAATAATAATAATAATAATAATAATAATAATGATAATGATGATGATGATGATGATGATGATGATGATGATGATGATGATGATGATGATGATGATGATGATGATATTAATAATAATAATAATAATAATAATAATAATAATAATAATAATAATAATAATAATAATAATAATAATAATAAAAATAATAATAATAATAATAAAGTTCAGAAATGAACATTTCGGTTTATTTAACTAAATGGTTTTGCCTATCAATCAAGGCGGTGAATAGAGATTTTCATATAACAGACTCACATTAAATTGTATTATGACTAAATCAACTACAAGCTTTGCAAGATATTAATTTTGAAAGCTGTAATTGCTGAAGCAATTATATTTTATTGCTGCTGTTTCTACAAGCTCAACGAATTCAATATTGTTAAATCCTTCGATAGCTTATGTAATTATTTAATGCCATAATGGCGAAGGCTACCGATTAAATCACCAACCAAATCAAATTATTATTCTTTGAATATAGAATTTAATTAAACCATCTGCATCATACCATTAAATGTTTCATTTTTTTTACAAAGTGATTGTAAGTCACTATAATTGTTTAATAATTTAATACGATGTAAAATATAAATTAAAATGTATGAAAACAATAAAAAAGTAAATAACTGATAAAAAATACCTCTGTCCGATAATTTAAGCAGCCTGATGAAGTTTCATTGCTGTTTTCATATTCTAAGAAGTGATGATGCGAATAAACGTAATTCATCACCTGAACTTTACCTGTAAAAGGTATGTCGCAGGTACGAGATATTTACCTGTATTGTGATAGTTTTGCCGTACATGCCGAATCGATCGTTGAACCAATGTCGCTAAGCACCGGCCTGCGTCAAGAAAGCTGATCGATAGCCGTATAGATAATTGATACACATAACATCAACCGAAAAGCTATTATTCAGAAAATGTAATATAAAAAAGGGTAAATAACTCCAGATTTCGATCTAAGAATTCGATGCAAGTTTTAAAAGACCAGAGTTTCAAATAGCTTTAATGCCTGTTCATTTCAAATAGCACATTGTTTAAAAGTAATGGGTATATATTGATGTAGGAATTATAAATCACGGCTGATAGCTCGCAGAGCGTACCATTGTCATAGTATCGACCTGCGTTTGAATTCTGGTGGAATTCTTTTGGATCGAACAATACTTGGATTAACGTGAAAACTTCTTCCTTGCATTATGTCGGATTAAAGTATGCTACGAATGTAATTCTTTTATAATATACTACCACCGTGTCTAATGTCTTATTCCATGTTCTTTCTATTTTGCACAAACATTACTGCTTGTAAAATACTCTATGGTACAAAATAATTATAATGCTTAATAGACCAGTATATGACAGCCACACAATATGTTTTAATATATCTTTAGTTCTGTTTCAAACAAACGCACAACACGAAGACACACGCAGCCACACGCACGCACATACAAACTAGAATGCTTGCTTTTTATTCGGTCAATGAAAAAGACCATTGTTTATGCTGAAATAAGAACAACAAAACTGACTATCTGATAATGGGAAGATATTCTGCAAGTCCTATCCTTATTAATTGTTGTGCTTGTTGATATCAGGGTCGTAGGTTGAATACTAAACCCAAGAAAATATTACTGAAGAGCAAAATCTAGCGAACCAACCAATATGGTGGACATGTTTCTTTAGCCTACTGACCATTTCTGCTACTGGTACGAGAAAATAGGCCCCTTGTTGGTCACTAGCAAAGTAATTTACAAAAAACAAATCATATTTTTTTGACAAAAATGAAAAAGAATCAGAAATTTGTTTAGACAAAATCTGCTATTTCTACATTTGGATTAAATGAAAAGTTTCAAAGGAAAAATAAAACATATCCATGCGTTTGCAACTTCTCAATCCATTCTTGTTTCGTAAATTGTCGCGGTGATCCGAACTGTAGCTACCGGCACAATCCCTAGGTCTGAAGTCGATTTGCGAGCGAGATTTACTACACAAATGTGCCGATTTATGTGTTCTAGTGAAGCGATAAGTGTCATCGATACAAAGAATAGCATAAGAGTTACATAAATAAGTCTTTTAGCAATTTTCAATATTTAGACCACCTACCGTGTCAGGAATAAGTAGGCACGAACCACTTCTTATTAAGCATACACTCATGGCATAAATTCATACAATCATGACATAAATTCATACACTCATGGCATAAATTCATACAATCATGACATAAATTCATACAATCATGGCATAACGTTACCTTTAATCTTATCATATTTTCGTATTAAACACGGCTTTGTCTTTTAAACTTTTGTATTAATGACATTTATGTCTTTTAAAGTGATATACTGTCATTAAAAATTGTTCTATAAATAATGAAAAAATTGGGCATAATGATCCTTTAGTTTCAACGGAAATCAAGGAAAACTAGAACCGATACAACGAAATTTCAAATGCGTATAATTTCTATTTTTTGCAATCTTCTCAAAGCAGTGGAGATCTTGCATCAACGTAAGAATATTTTCACGGATCGCAAAGTCGTATCAAACTGCACACAACATCAGAGAGAAAGAGAGAAAGGTAATATGTTTATTAAAAAGGCTTAAAAACATATATTTATATATATATATATATATATATATATATATATATATATATATATATATATATATATATATATATATATATATATATATATATATACGGAATTAGAGAAAAAGTCAGAATATAGACAGAGAGAGAAATAACACGTCTTCAAAATGCACTTTCAGACGAAGACTCGAAACGCTACTGAAAATGACGTTTGAAATATCCAAACACCGCGGACAGCAACATTAACGTCATCTGGTGGTGTCAGAATTATTTAAAATACAATATGATATTTACTACAAATTTGAGATTACATGAAACAACTAGTATTTGCCATGGATGTCTGGACTGTACAATCAAGGATTTAGAAGTGGAACATGCTTTCAAAATTATAAAGTCTGGAAAATCAGGTGGAACTGATGACCTTCGAGTGACATTTTAAAAGCCACTGGAACTGTTAAGGAACCTACTTTAGTGTTCATTTTCATACAATTATTTAATTGTGGATACTTTAATAAATGTCGTTACTATTGCACCCTTTAACAGAAAGAGAAATATAAATATGCCCGAAAATTATACCCGTCTTGAACAAAATATTTACCTCAGCCAACTGCATAAAATAAAATGATATTTTAGGATTTTAGATGAAGAACAAATTGGTTTAAAAGTGGATATTCCACTGTAAATATATTTACCTTAAGCACGTTGATATCTAAATATTTGAGGAAACAAAGCTGCAGGTTTTATGTTCATTTTGTTGATTATATAAAAAGCGTTCGCCGTATTGAATGGAATTCACTTTTCATAAAATTAGTCAATGAAAACAACAATCAAATACAAATGTTAATAAAAGCCCTATATGCAAATGTTACAACTTGTGTGAAAATGACAAGGGGCTTAACAAAAATATTTAAGTAACTGGAGGAGTAGGACAAGGTTGTGTTTTGTTACTTATTTTATTTTCTTTATTTCGACATGATTCGAAGACACATGTTTAACTAAAATAAGTATGTAAGATTACAATTTGCTAATCTATTTGTACTGTTGTATGCAGATGACTGCAGATATTGTTTCCCTATTTCATAGAATTATATATATTTACAAACATAAAAATATGCGAAAGTTACTATTCTGTGTTTATATTCACAGTGTTTTGGAAATTATTTAGTCATTTGTTTTCTTTATTTGTTTGTTTGAAGTTTTGTTTGTTTCTTTATTATTGTTTCGTTTTTTCGTTCATAATGTAACGCAGGATTACTTTTCATAATCTAACACAGAATTACTATTCATTTTAAAATGTAACACAGGATTACTGTGTTTTCGTGCTATATCACAGGATTACAGTTTATTTCATAATCTTATACATGATTACTGTTCAATACATATTCTAAATTAGGAGTACTGTATATTTCATAATCTTAAACAAGATTATTGCTTACTACATAATCTTACACCAAAATAATGTTTATTCTAAAATCTTACACGATTATGGTTCATATCATAATCTTACACGATTACAGTTGATTTCATAATCTTAGACGCGATTACTGTTCACTTCGTCATCATACACAGGATTACCGTCCATTTTATCCTGGTACACAAGATTATTGACCACTTCATAATCTTACACCAGATTACTGTTCATTACATAATCATACGCAAGATTACAGTTCATTTCATTATATTACAAACGATTAGTGCTCTTTGCATCATTTATCACAAATCTCTATGCCAATGAATTCTCTGTTCTAGCGATACATCACTTCATTATAAAGCTGAAAGGAATGCAACAATTTTCTGAATTAAATACTCGTTGCAAATAATTATTAACGAAGGTGACAAATTCATTCTATTTCTTTGATTATCATGATAGTTATATATACTACTCCATCATAGACCACGCCTGTGGCCTAGTGATTAGAGCGTCCGCCTCGGATGCTGGAGGTCTCGGGTTCGAACCCCAGTTGAGTCATACGAAATACTTCTAAAAGTGGTGCTAAAACTGCCTCGCTAGGCGATCAGCATTAAGAGGTTACTGCTAGGACTGGTCATACTAGTGCCAAGATAAATGTAAATGGGTGGGACATCATCCAACATGCCTGCTGCATGATGCCCCAGTGCTAGACATCACTATGAAAAGCCAAACTGCAGACAACAAATGTGTGTTAATTCCCTTTTTATCTTTAACTCAATACAACCATAAATATTCCTTTAGTGCTAACGACGAAAGGCAAGGAAGGGCAGGAAACAGTATTACCTGTTCAGTTAAGGGCAGTTACTATTGCAACTTCTGTGAGAAAGCTTGTCAGTAGCTTCTCGTTGTTCGGTGGTTCTTTCCGGTGATTTCCCAGTTTCTTCCTCCACCATTAATACTGGCCGCCATGCATAGCCTATCGTGTGCTGAAAAATGGCGTTAAACCATAACAATAACCATATTTGCAATTCCATTGCTGTATAATGTCTTTGAAAGAAAATGCTAACTGAGGAAATATATTGGAGTCATCTTTCCAGCCAAGATGATCGGGGATTTTCGGGACAGGTTACATCTGTTGGCGATGAACAAGTGTACGACAACTTTTCACAGATTCATAGGAACTCAGATTGACTGATACAAGAGGTATTTGTTCACATGGATATATTTTTAATTTACCATATTGTACGCTGTCTATTCTAGAGCAGAATGAATATAAATGGTGCTAGCAATTTGACCATTCAGAATATTGATATCATTATTGACTTGTGAGTCGTAGTTTTCATTCCATGTGATGTGAAAGGTTTTAAGTTGTTCCCTTGCTAACCAGTTCAACGATGCCATGCATATATCCTTTGCAAACGCAGTAAAACTCTCTAGAAGAAAAAAACGAAAATTTGAACACCAGCATTCTAGACGAATATTCGAACACAAGTATTCTACTCAGATATTCGCAAAATCGTATTCTCATTCGAATGTTCGTATATTCGTTTAATCTCTACTTCCACATCCATTCTAGGGGCAGATAATCCATTAAACGTAAGTATTCGTACATGCTAAAAATAGAAATTTAGAATGAATATGACGTGCATAGATACAGAAACTTTAACAAAAAAAGTTATATAGCTTAATCCGTGTTCAATTAACTCTGAAATGTAGTAAGTAGTGACTAGTTTCTCTCTTTATTCCAAAGTTAATATATCCAATAATGAAAAGTAGGTCGTATTGACTATGTAGGATAGACATAAAAATGTACGAACTTCTTTAAAAGTCTGTGGTCTTTATATACATAGAATCATATTTTCCACATTTGTACTTGACATATTTTTGTATATACGTTATTTTGTTTTTTAAAATATACAGAAGTTTGACAACTAAACAATTACATATATAATGATGCTACAAACGAGCATGACAAGAGATGCATCAATATAATATATACTATGTTTATTACTATTGAAATTCGTCAATGTGATATAGTGCTATTGATATGAATCAATATAATATGTGTGTCCATGTTTAGAACTTTCATGAGTTTTGAGAAATTTGTGATTTTCCTAGTTGGCTCAAGTAATCAGTTATGAACGATGTGTACAATATAAGGTGCCTGACTGAGTCCCTGTGACAGAATTTATTCCAGGCGCTAATCTCGAAAATTACAAAGGGGGTTGGAATATTATTCCAGGGTGTGATCTTGATAATTATTGAAACCACCCCAACAAGCTCGAAATAGCTATATTTTCATATAATCAGCAACAAACGCGAAATAGTAATATGAATTCAAATGTTTCCCTTGTTTGGGGTTTAGGATTTGGGGATAGGGAGTGTTTTGGGGATGGAAAGTGAGTTTGGGAGTGGGAAGTGGGTTCGCGATCGGGGGAAAGTGAGTTACTTGGCGATAACAAACATCCCCTGATTTCTCTATTTCTGATAAGAGTAAACAACTTCTTGGACCTTGTAGATGCTACAGACAATGATGAGAAAGTCATTTTCTTGTTTAACCATAAAACTGTTACCCACAACAATTGAGACCCACGAAAACTTATACCCAATTCAGCTGAAACCCAAGAAAACTGAGACACACGAAAACTGATACCCAAGGCAACTGATAGACACGAAATGAAATTAATTGATAAATTCTCTGGAAAAAAAGAAACAGCCTTGGGAATTTTCAAACGTGCTGCAGAATTCTCCTTTGGAATCTGGCCAAATAATCGTCATTTAAACTTTAAAAGTGGTCATAGATAAATATTGGCTGGCATAAAATGAAAGCGTACCATATATATGTTCACGTTGGCTGTCATAAAATACAGAACTACCATGATGATTTTAATAATAGACTCTTGTAAAAGAAAAAGCAAACTATCGCATAAGTTTTATTTAGTAGAAAACCCATTAGTACAGCCAGTACATAGTGTATAAGTAAAATAATTGTGGATAGAAAAAAATGTGTGGTAAATACTCCTAAACAAAAATTGTACAGATGATTGGATTGGGTTCATTGGTGACAGTGTTCTTGTACCTAAATACAATAATGTCAAACGCTATATTAACTAATGGTCACCAGTTGCCATGCGTATGGATAGAAATTATATATGACCGAAGATTTACGGCTCATATTAAATACAAATATGCTGTAAAATGAGCCTATTTCGGGACAAATAATAAGTTTATTGGATGTAGATTTAACATGAGAATGCTATGTCTAGGGACACAAACTGTTGATGGGTACAAATACGTTTAGAAAGAAAAAACTGTTTTGGGGGACAAATGTGTTTATGGGGGAAAATGCAATTATAGAGACCAAACTTGCTCATGAGGACAAATGCATGTATAGGGACAAAGCTGTGTATGGGGACCAATGCATTCACATGTACTTTATAGGGACAACGCGTTTATAGGTACAAACAGGAATGGTAATGTTAAAATGGCGAAAGCGATTCACATTTTTGAGGTCAATATAAAATTTAATGCTAATTCGTTTGATTGTTACAGAATATCTCGAATGTATAAATGTGTCAATGACGTGGAATGTGGCATTATGCCTATTGATATCTTAGAAAAATTCATGATGTCCTTATTTTAAAACTCTATAATTCCAAATTAATGTTGAAGGCCGAATATATTACTGAGCACATTCAATTCTAAAGAATAGTAATTTGAATAAAAATTCCGTTCAAATTTAAACAGGAACACAACCATAAAACCAATACTGCTTTAGATATTAAAGCAAAAATGAATGATTTTGAAAAGAAAAAGTTTACATACTGTACTGGTGAAAAGTGTTTTAGAATATGTTGTTTGTAGTAGTCAAAATGCTTACTTTCGTGGACAGCGCGACAAGTAAACATTGAGATTAAATGTATGTGTTAGCCTGCTGATCAATATTGTAGCTAGCGACAATTAACATCTCCTGTTTGGAGCATGTATTGCATTTTAATTAGGATGCGCTTGCTTAACAGTTAGGAACAGACGAAAGTGCAATGATAAAACGAGATCAAAGCTGTAAACTGTCCAGAGTTGGTATAAAGCATGAAAAGTTTTAGAGAATTGTAGTTCATTTGAATGATATTTTCCAGAATAGTTAATAATAAGACATTTAGAGACTATTCTGAATTTGGCAGGGTAAAGTAGTAATCCTGGCTTAACTAAGCGATGATATTTTTGTTCCCAGACGGAATTATTGGTCCTAAAATAGTTCCCATCTTAAACTGAATCAGTCTACATTTCTGTGTGGCGCCAAGAAGTTAACTCCGAGGAAAAATAGCAAGTATCTTTTCTTAGTAAATAACGTATCCTGAGGATATGGAAAGAGTGAAAGAATGGATTTCGAATAAAGCACTATGTACATTCACTGAGGTAAGTCTGCAATTATTGTTGAATTTATTTGTTTTAAATTCACACTTAATTTCAGGAATAATCATGTATGTTATATAGCTCATGTACTGTTATAATGTCATACACTATTTCGTTATATGAATTATTTCGTATATATTGATTTAGTGTAATTTGTTATGTATATGTAATTTAATTATTTGTATTTTTAATTTTACGATCTTTTTTATTTCCATTATATGTTATTATAATGTAACTTCATTGACTGGATTTGAAAATTGTCCAGAAATTCGATTCAGTTCTGTTTGACCTGACTTAATTTTATAAACAACTAATATTGTAACACTGTATCTAGTTTCTGACCTTGATTCAAAACCAGTGACAGTTGTAGTAAACAACATTTTAAAGGTTTTTATTTATTTGTTTATTCTCATAGTAAGAATTGTTAAGCTAAGTCAGGGTCATACATAGAGTATATGACAAATAACATGTGTTTATTGATACAAACATTTGGTTTCCCAGTTTGATGAATTTGTCACACCCATCCGGGAATCTGCTTTGCGTTTTAGTTAGTCTTATAACTCATGTTATCACAAGAATTTGCCAGTCAGGCTCTGAATACTTAATGTGACCAGTTTGAAATCGACTTTTATTTTATTATATTTTTAAGTGGTTTTTTTCCCTGGAATACAAGTGCTCCTACAAACTTCTTGGACAAGGACATTAACTTAATTTATTCTGAATTCCAAATTAGAATGTTATGTTATGTGATTCAACAAGAAACTCTTGACACAACAGTACGACGCTGACCATCTTATACATAATCGCCCAGTTTGAATTTCATCGAGACTAGAACTCAGATTCATTTAGGACATTTTAATAATATGACTTCTATTTTTTAATACTTGGATCATTTTTGGATTTGATTCGTAAAACCGCAAGTTCTTTTTTCTCATTTTTACCTTGGTTTACTAGGGAAATAAATTAATTGTTCAAATTTACAAAACTTGTTGTAATCACTCTTTTCTTGTTACTTTTTGTCAGAACCTGGATACTTAACAAATATAAAATATGCAATGCACGATTTCGGTTTTCTTTCTGACACAAATTGTGAAGAGTAAAATATCTTTCTGAAATTAATTGTATCATACATATTTCATTCTTTG